TGGACTTGAAGAGAGACTGACCTCTGAGTTTTTTTCGGCATTTCTTCTCAGAGTAGTCAGATAGGAAATGCCGGCTTCATCTAGTTTTTCACATATAATTTGACGTGTAAAAGTGCCGTTTTATAGCCTATTTGTTTTTTATTGTTTCATTGTTAGCGGGCGCCCGAGGCTCCGTCCGCGTGTGTGTCGATTTAAAATTAAATTTTATCTACGTACAAATTTTTTCTGGACTCCCACGAATAATTCAAGTCAAAAATTAGGCAAATCGGTAAAGGCAAGGAGTTATAACATTACAATGAAAAGTGACATTAACTTTTATTATATTTCTATTTAAAAGGTGGCCAAAACGAGCAGACAGATCACTTGATAATAGATCTATAATCCGCTTATGAATATCCGGAACGCCAGAGAAGTTGCAAGGGTCCAGTAAAACTGCGTAAGCACTTTTATGGGTCTACGTTTAGTTTTTAAATATAAAAGCATTCATTAATATGGACATATTAGGCCATCATTGCTATGAAGATAAGAAATAGGAAAGAATCAGGCGTTTGGGTAACCTTACTGACACAACTTATGGTAGAAAGAGAAGGGATATTGTGATGTAATGACGTCTGATAAGAGAGAAAGGGAGATAAGATACTGACCACAACTTGGAGAAGGGATAAAAAATCTTAATTCTCATATTCATTGTCCTTATCAAAATTAAAATATCGTCCCTTAGGAAAGCCTCTACTATAGTAAAATTTTCGAAATCAATTTATTGCTAATCAATACCTAAAGCTAAATTAATTATTATCTTTTTTAAGGCAAAATTTTATCACCCCCCGCTATAAAAGCGAAATAATATAACTTATTTTATCGAAGTCGGTAAAATACTACAAACCTGTTTTGCATATTCTGTGAATTGTTTTTTTATTCTTTTTCGAAAAATGTTTTAAGAGGAAATGGAGTCAATTTTTAGTTTTAATTTAAAACATAAGACCGTGAGTAACTGATCGATAAAAGTAAATTTAGTAAACATTGATATGACTATCAAGTTTCGTTGAAATCGTTTAGTTTTTATTAGAAAATTTATACGAAATACGCCTTACCATGTAAACGCTCTTGAAAAAAATCTTTAATTTTTAGACTTTGTAACTAAAACTAAAAAAGTCTTATTCCGTCTTTTAATGACTGAAAAACTCGATTATACGATATATAGCCTACCGGCCTTATTACAAAACAAGGTTTTACTTTAGTCTAAGACTAAACCAATGAGCCAGTTTTCGTATTTCGAATTGAAGGTACATAGATGACAATAAGATTCAAAATTCAAAACCCGACTTAATGGTTTAAACCTGGACTAAAGATAAACCTTGTTTTGTAATAAGGGGGTAAAAGAATATTTTTGGAATACCGAAGGAGATTAATCAGACAAAAAAATTTATTCTGAAGGTTTTAAAGACAGAGGTGTTGATTTGCAAATATCTTTACTAACATTATAAAGCTGTAGAGTTTATTTGCTTGTTTGAACACGCCAATCTCGAAAACTACTGGTTCGTATTGAACAATTCTTTCTGCGTTCGTTAGACCATTTATCGAGGTAAACTATAGGCTATAAAACATCACGCTACAATCTGTAGGAGCCGAGTAGCGTGGACTAAAGCCACCACATTCCACGAGTGTTATAAGGAGACGAATTATAGTAATAAAAAATATAATTCCATCTACTATAACAATATTATTTCAGGCAAATTTTTCAATGATTAGATAAAAGTTACCTGGGGAATAATTATGATGCTGTCGCGTCAAAATGTTTGTATAAGACAGTGACAGCAACAATTTTATTTCTCTGATAACGTTTATCTGACTATTGATACCTGGGGAATAATTATGATGCTGTCGCGTCACAATGTTTGTATAAGACAGTGACAGTAACAATTTTATTCCTCAGATAACATTTATCTGACTATTGGAATATCAGCCCTTATAAGAATACTTATAGAATTTACTTTAAAGTAATACTGTATATAAATATAAAGGAAGCGAAGGTTTTTGGCTTTTGTATTTGGAAGTTTATCGCAAAATATTATAGTCCATATACCATCAGTTTTTTTGTAACGACGGTTAAGTAGTCTACACAAAAGACCCACTGCTACTTTTCATCTGGGTAGTGTCAGAGCTGACTAAGGGACGCATCTGACAAAATATTATCTGTTGGCTGGCTGTAAAGCAGACTACTACACAAAACCCCACCGCTGCTCTTCTAATGGAAATCTTTGGAGTTAACTAAGGAACTAACACCCGGTTTCCGAAAGGCCGATCAATGTTAAAATCATTTTAATCTCTTGTCAAGCCATAAGCCATCTGATTGGTTGACTGAATTATCAACAACCAATCAGATGACTTGACAAGAGATTTAACAGGAGATTAGTTAATTTTAGCGTTGACAAGCCTTTCAGAAACCGGGTGTAAGCCTCCCATAAAATAACATTTGTTGCGACTATGATGCAGACTATAGTCACCAACGCAACTCTTCATGTGGGTATCTTTAGAACAAGTTTACTAAGATGCTCTGACAATTCAGACAGTCATATTTATTATGACTGTCAAGTAGACTACACAAGTCACCACCGCTTTTTTATGTGATAGGTCAGCAAACTAGCAAACGCATTACCTGATGGTAAGCAATCAACGCCATCATGTCTATGGACACCCGCAAGAACGGAAGAGTTACGAGTCTGTTGCCGGCCTAACATTTTAAACTACGATTCGACCTAAAATTTTAAACTACGATCCTCAACCTGTCTCCGAAGATTATGATAAGCCCATATTATGCAGAAGAGGCCCACAATCCAACGGTGGGCTATTAATAGCGGTCAGGACAATCTAGGAAGTGGTATTTTAACTTTGGCTACATCGTGGCAAGACTTTGTGACTCTAATCGGTAGAGGAAGTTACTTTTTAAGAGCTGATCAGACGGCTCGACTCATCATGCCCTAAGTCTCTAAGTTCCGATGGATTGGGCAGTATGATCGCTGTTAGGCTGTTACTGCCCCCATAGATTAAGATCGAGAATGTCCGATTGCTCAAGTCCTTAATCCAAGGCGAGAAAAAGAGATGGAACTATAAAAGGGGTATAGCTCCATCCCTCTTTCTCGCTGAAGATTCACGCTTTAACACGTTATAGTAGGCCCTCGGATACCGTCTGATCGCCGCTTTAGCTAAACGAATATTATAAAGCAATCTTTTATATCCAAATTGCATTACAACTACGTATACGAAAACAGTTATAAAATGGGAAGAATCAATTTCCGATGGTAACTGGATAGAATTAAAAATCTATCCAGTCCGTCACTTACACAATGATAATGTATTAGACACGTGTTCCTTTTTTATTTAGTCGTATAACAAAACAATACTTGTATTCAACGATTTTTTTTGCTTAGCTACGGCACCGCTCTGTATAAAAAAATACTAAATCGTGACGTCCGAGTGTCGTGGTGGCCCGGAGGTTAAGGAGCCCGCTTCTCATGCATAAGGGTGTGTCGAAACCTGGCAAGTACCAATGGACTTTTTCCAAGTTATATGTACTTTCTATGATTATTTAGACACCACTGACATACGGTAAAGGTAAACATCGTGAGGAAAGCTGAATTTATAATTTTTAATTATAAGTTTGAAATCGCCAACCCGCATTGAGCAAGCGTGGTGATTAATGCTCAAACCTTCTCCGTGTGAGAAGAGGCTTTTGCTCAGCACTGGGCACTTATAGGTTGATGATGAAATCGTGACGTCACAAGATATTTCAAATCAATATATCATAGAAAGTATTCGATTCAGATAGAAAAGATAAAATACGTGTATTTAAGTTTTGAATAATAAATCTAAAAGACGGACGTTATAATAAAAAAATGTCATTTCTCAATGAATACATCTAGGTATGGAAGTAATTTTCTTCAAAACTGTCATTAAAAACTTCGGAAGGTCTTATAAACACCCTATATAATAGTTATAGAATTTATAACAGTTAGTTATAATTTAATTATAATGGCAAAAACTCGAAGCACGTAATTATTACAAATGGCAAATATCTTTGAACACAATATCTTAAAATTAATTAGTTAATAAAGAGGCAAGTATTTGAAAGCAGATTAGTAAAATAATAATTAGATACTTTATACAAACTTAATTAATAACAAAATTAATCGTACCAAAGTGTTTTAGCATTAAAATAAAATGATTTAAGTTTTATGAGAAAAAAACATCAACCTGTAGCTTCAAGTTGTTATATTAACATCACCCTGTACATTGAGAAAAAACATAGTAATTTTTTTATGGATTTAGGCATCATTTCTACACAAATGGACGTGATGCATTTAATTTAATTTTAACATTTAACTTGTTTTTACATTTTTGATAGAGGAACAATTAAAAATTGGAGATTTTGAGATCCCAATAAAACGCTACTTTCTTCTGATCAGTATCCGCGATATCGACCACTAGGCCAGCATGTGTGGTATTTTGTATAATCAAATTATTATTTTAATGCAAAAACACTTTGGCAAACCATAATATGTATTACAAAACACATGCGAATATTAACAATAAAAAACATGCTTTGTTTGTACATAATTTTGAATGTGGGAGCGAATTGGATAAAAGCCATTTACAACATTTGTGGGAAAAAACTGTCCAATTACCAGTGAATACTGCGCGTAGCATGACATGTAGTGGCTAGAGGAGTGTAAGGGAGTTCTGAAAGAGGGTATGCTCACAACATCAAACACAAAAACCCACTCTTAGGGCCAATTCACACTTGCGGGGTAAACACAATGAGGCACCGCGGCTTCGGCCTAGAGCTAGGAGAAAGAACGGTGGGGTTTTTAGTCAGTAAGAGTCTGACATTTCCTCTCGCCTCACGACAGGAGAAGTCATTTGATGATTTCTCCTGTGACAAAAAAGGACAATACACACCGAGACGCGACGTTGCAAGAACACAAGATCAATACAAGTCTAGCGGAAGCGGATCGCAGCGGACGCTTCACTTATAGTATAGTTAGTCATAGCGCGTCTCAGTGTGAATTAACCCGAAGATTGGATTTTGTGGCTGATGATGTAAGGATTCTGGTAGATCCTCTTTAATTAAGTCACATGTCCCATCTACTTCCGAAATGGGCAAAAGAAACTCCAAATCGAACCTCTCGTCTCCCACATCCAAAAACGGAGAATTAGACGACGGAATCCGGTGGACCGTCCGTCTTATCAGCCAGTATCGATTTCCTAACATTAAGCGTAGATAATTGACTGACAGGTATTTCAGAGTTTGAGTAGCTATTTGAGCCCCTAACGGGACCCCAGCGACTGAAGTGGGTTTCCACATCGTCTGAATCAACTGTGTAAGTGCTATCGCTTCTATCACTTCTCATAGTCCCGTATGGGGTCTCAAGAGATGGCAAGTCGATCATAACTGCTTCCAAAGCCCTATCCTGTTTCAAGCTCTGCTGTGAAATGCTACGCTTCATAGTTTGCGGGGCTTCCGCCTTTAACAAGTGTTCAGATAAGGATTGTCTGTTCAATTTCTTATCTTTAGGTCTTTCAGCTTCCTCTGTTATTTTTCTATCGTCCCCGTAAGCCATTATTGGTTCTCTACGCCAATCATCGCTCGAGTTGAAGACTGAGAATCCTGATATTTTGTCGGATACCAGTCTTAAGTTGGATGTTGAAGCGTAACGGTTTCCTTTAGTGAGTTTTCCTCTCTTCGTCGTGTTATTGGCGCTGGTTGCGGCTGATTTCGTGGTTCTGCTTGGGCTGATGCTTCTTCTCCTGTCCATATTTGGAGTATTGGCTGCAGATAGGAAGTTCAAACTTGTCCTGGATCTGGATAAGGAGCCAATGAAGGACGTCCTCTGTTGGTAAGCGCTTAGGACGTGCTGCAGTACGTTTTTCGGCCAGGGTGCGTTAAGATAGATCCCTCTGTCAGGTATGGGTATTCCAAACTTTTTCTCGTGATCGTCCAGGTTTTTCTCGAAGGTTTTTATGATGTTCTGTTTTGAAATTGACGTGTTATTAACTTTTATTTTTGGATAACTACACCTAAGACGCCACGGGACGGATACAAACGTATAAATGAGTTCCAATACACGTGTTTTAAGATTTTTTTAAGAAACCTGGCTGTTATTGCGTTGAGATGTATTCAGGAGACGTATTGGAACTCTGTACCTTTCCCTAACAATGACCTCCTCCATACCACCACCTTACATTAGTTAAAAGCTTATACTCATGCTTGTTTATATGGAAACAAAATTCTTTTACATCAATTTCGAAAAGATACCATTTTCAGGGTCACGTAAGTTTCAAAGAGTCGTGTAGATCAATAACAGTAGTAACAGACACCTCTCTCTCCTCCCACCCAATCCAGGGTGGTAGCTTACAAAGTCCAAAAAAAACATCGATAATGGCCATAAGGTCAGAAAAGTGCTCGAGTAGCGACCACGGACCGTACAGAGGACGTAGCATGGGTAGACCTTTAGCAAGGTGGACCGACGACATCGTCAGAGTCGCGGAAAGCAAGAGAAGCTAGAGGATCGACTTGGAAAACTAAGGGAGAAGCCTTTGTCCAGCAATGGACGTCTTTCAACTTGACGATAATAATGTAATAGAATAATGTTTCCATATAAATCATAAATATTCCACATGCATTCATTCCACCCAACCACTGAAGCTATGTACAGTAAAATACATGACATGCAATAAATACCTAATAAAAAATTGTGATCGTAGACTGTGTTGGAAATTGTGGTGACATTTCATTCTTACTTATATTTTAGTATAGTATAAAACAAAGTCGCTTTCTCTGTCCCTATATCCCTATGTATGCTTATATCTTTAAAACTATGCAACGGATTTTGATGCGGTTTTTTAATAGATAGAGTAATTGAAGAGGAAGGTTGACGTGTACATAATATAATAACATCGAGACATTTTGTATCGACATTGCATCCGTGCTTAGCTCGAGCGGGTCGCTAGTTAACTGTAAATAACTTACGCGAATGTAAGCTCTATTATATTTATTTTCAACTAGTTTTTGCACGCGACTCCGTTCGTGTGGACGTGAATTAAGGCAGATTTTTGGTATAAAACTACCTACTACTAACTACTATGTCCTTTCTCGAGTTCCATACTATGTCTGCACCAAATTTTACAGAAATCGGTTCTGTAGTTTAGGCGTGAAGAAAAGACAGACAGAGTGACTTTCGCATTTATAAGTTTGGATATTATTGTAATATTATAATTTTGTAAATCGATATCTCATTGTCAAAAAACTATTTTTATTTTACTAGTAACTTTTCCATTACAGTCCACGACGTACACAGAATAAAATTAATAAACTCCTTACCAGTGTCAAATATTATATAAACAGTCTCATTGCAAGTCAATAAAGAAGTAGACTAGCCAATTTAAAAAATGGATAAACACGCTAAAACTCTGTTTAATAACCTTCCTATAATTACCTAAGTACTCGATAAACTTATTTGATACAATTTTTATTTATTTATTTCGTAATGGGAAAGCATTTGGCCGCTATCACGCCTGGTGGTGCGCGATGATGCGACCTACGATGGAGTACGACTACCCATAAGCAACCTATTCACTCGGGCCTTGAAGACACCCAATACATATAAATTACTTTATACAAACGACATTGTGAAACAAAGGCTTAACATATTATTTTTATAATAATTATTATGTTTAAAGACTTATTCACGACACTCGACGACGAATATGAGCCCTAACGTAGCTTGAAACAAGACGAGTTAACTCGTCAAACAGTTACTAGAATAAGCCGTTAAACATAAAAATTGGATTCAATATTTTTATTACTTATTTACATAATATTTGACACATAAAAATATACAACATACTTCACGCACGCTAAAATTATCAAAAAAAAAAATACAAAAAAAAAAACACAGAGACAGACTCATACGGATATTGGATATACAAGTAAGGGCTAATTTTTCAATAGTTAGATAAAAGTTACCTGGGGAATAATTATGATGCTGTCGCGTCGCAATGTTTGTATAAGACAGTGACAGCAACAATTTTATTCTTCAGATAACATTTATCTGACTATTAAAAAATCTGCCCTAAATACATAGAATTAATAAATAAAAATCTGAAACGTATAAATTTCATAACACACACATACAGACAAACACACGAATGAAATTAAATTTAATTATGGCGACATCTTTTACAATCATTTGTTTGTTCTGATCATTATTTAAATTTGACAAACCTGTACAAAAGATTTGTGTCAAGAAAAAAAATACAAATTCAGCAGAGTCAGGATAAATAGCTATAATACGGTAGTTTCCAACTAGTCAAATTCAATGCTTTTATCCAAATGTCAATAATGATACTTTTCTATGAAATTTGTATACCTAGAGTATGTCAGAAATAAATAAATTCGACGTTTCAATACAATAAAATATTGAAAAACAACTATACTTTTATTCATCGATCGATCGATACACTGAATTTAAGATATATTGTAGCTAATTATTAATAAATAAGTAAGTCATTTGACGCATAAAAACTATGACGTCATAACCTAGTGTTTCACATAAATTTCATAGAAAAGTATCATTTTAGACATTTGGATAAAAGTATTGAATTTGACTAGTTGGAAACTACCGTATAATAATAGTACGAAATCGATCGCCATAAAAAAAATTGAATCTCAACAACATACACACTTACACACAAAACACATCACCTATATAACGAAATGAGGGCAGGCAGTACTCACCAGTTTTCTGTCCCCGAGCGTGGCGCGCCACTCCTTCAACTCCTGGGAGTACCGCTCCTCGACCGCCTTCATCTTATTGCTCTCGTGGTTCATCAGAGCCTTGCGTTTCTCGTTCTGGTACTGCTCCAGTTCTCGAAGCAACGCCTGGTTGAAAATAGGACAATATTGTAGTTAAAATCCTACCAATCCTACTAACCTACCAATATTATAATCTATATTACATACTTTTAAACTTTTGCGATTCATTTTAACAACATATATATATTTTCATTTTCATATAATTACGCGGGAATGTAATAATTTAAATACCTTGAAGGGCTTACCGTTTCGACCTGGTTGCACAGGTCGTGGTCACAAGCAGACTGAGGATGCGATGTCGCACCTGCATTAGGGCGATGAATCTTCATCTACCCCCTTATTTACCCCTCAGTTACTGGAGGCCCAATCCTTCCCATCCACCATCCCTTCCTAATCCCTTAATCTCCAAAACTCCTTACTACCAAAAGGCCGGCAAGGCACATGTAACTCGTCTAATGTTGCGAGTATCCATGGGCGGTGCTGATTGCTTACCACCAGGTAATCCAACTTCTCGTATGACTTACGAAATTTGAGGATCATCATAAGCCGGAAGGCATCCTCTGCTGAACAAAGGTCTCCCACTCAGCCTTTTAAGTGTAAAGACGACTCGCCACCTGCTTCCATTGACTCACCGCGAGCCACGACTCTTAAGATATATGCTAAACTCTATATACATATATACTATGTAAATATTGTGTAATGTCTTACCTCTCCGGCCGCCTTGAGCTCCTCCCTCGCTTTGGCATGTTTGGTCGCGAGGCGTTGTTGTTCCGCGCGATATCTGCGTTTCTCATTCTCTTGGAACTGCAAAAAAACATGGTACAGATTGATGTGGATTCAAGTGTGGAAGAGCCATGCCTTGGCTCGAATGGGTCGGCTCGACCCATTCAAACGGTATCACAGAAAACCGGCGTCAAACTACCACGCGCTTTTTTTTTGTTATTTTGCGTAAAACTTGTTCTTGTATTACAAACTGTTTTTTTGTGTTCTTCTTTTAAGGGCTGATTTTCAATGGTTAGATAAAAGTTATCTGGGGAATAATTATAATGCTGTCACTGTCACAATGTTTGTATAAGACAGTGACAGCAACTAACGATAATATTTATTTGACTCTTGAAAAATCAGCCCTAAGTTTATTATTGCATTAATTTCACAATAATATTTTTACATGTATGTTGTTATATGCACTTATGTAGTATATGTAAATATTATATGTAGTGTATGTATATATTATATGTAAGTTTATTTCCCATATATAATTTTATTTATTCTAATAGGATTTAGGTAAGTAAGTGTATAAAATATATATTTATCAGTAATATCACGATTTTGCTTGCTTCTTGCACCTACTGCTATCTCTGCATCGCCCAAAGGTTCGACTGGGAGAGAATGCCTGTGGCATTAAGTCCACCTTGTACAAACATGTATGTGCAAAAGTGTAAATAAATAAATAAATTCAAAAAAATTTCGAGCGTACGGCGGTAGCGTTCCGCGCGCGCCTCTAAGACCCAATAGACCACCACAGACGGAGCCCTATAGGGCGCATGTTCAGCCGGGGTGGAGGGGCAAGCGTAATGAGGCACCGCGACCTCGGCCCAGAGCAGGAGAAGAAACATTTTATAGTCAGTAAGAGTCTGACACTTCCTCCCGCCCGACCCTGGGCGGAAGTAATTTAATGATTTTCCCCTCATAGAAAAATGTGCATTCCTTAAAATGCTAGGTAATAAATGTATCCAGAACTAGCTACTCTCGCGCGGTTTCCCCCGCTGCTCAGCTCTATTTAATCGAAGCGTGATGTTTTATAGCCTATAGCACTCAGAAACATTGTAGCTACCTATCAGTGAAAGAATTTTGGCAATCAGACCAGCGGTTCCAAAGATTACCCCCCTACATACAAACTTACAAACATACAAACTTCCAAATTTTACCTCTTCATAATATTAGTATAGATAATAATCATTCCTATATCCATAACCGAAATTTCATTTCCATAACATTCCTAGTCTTGACTACTGATAGTTTACCAAGGGGTCCACCAAGCTACCAAGCATGGTCATTGAAAAGATGAAAAAATATATAAAAAGGTACCTTCTTCAGCCTTTCCCTCTCGTCCTCGTGACTGGGCGCGTTCATGGCGCTGATCCGCAACGACTCCCTGAACATCATCTCTCTAGCTTTCTGCTCCGCCCGGATCCGTTTGGGCAACGATCTCTTTTCTAACGCCTGCACCTTAGCTAGCTCCTCCTCCTTACGGGTGTTTTTCCTGAAACAAGGATTACGTGTAATGTTATTTTCGTATTTATAGTTGCGAACTTGGATTCCCGAGCGAAACAACTCTATGTGACGCGTTATATTTCGCCATGTGAGTGAGAACCTACCTCAATCCCAAAATCTCCTAACCCAAATTCCAAAAACGTCGGCAACGCTCTCGTGACTACTCCATTGTGGTGTCATGTCATGTCATGTCATATGTCGGCAAACGAGCAGACGGATTACCTGATGGTAAGCAACCAGTGCCGTTCATGGACACCTGCTAGAGTAACGAGTGCGTTGCCGAACTTTTCTATATTATTGTTTCTGAGATTTAGGGGAACGACTGGGCCTCTGGTAACCTCACTCCACGTTGAAACACAACAAAAATGTTGTTTCACGCCGGTTATCTTAAAAGCCGTTGTATCAATCCGGTTAATACGACCCATTCGTGCAAAAGCATGACTTTGGTGTTGCGGGTGTCCATGAGCGACGCCGATTGCTTACCATCAGGTAATCCGTCTTGCCGAAGAAGAAGTACGACGTGCTTAAATTAATATCTGTCACTGGTTAGTTACCAGTCCCCCGAAATCCTGTGTACTACACCCGGGTCAAGATTGAGGGTGGTGTATCGTAACATACCTCTTGATCTGTTCCAGCTCCTTATCATGCCGGACCAGCATCTGATGCCTCCGCAGCAGGAACTCGTCCTTGAGCTGCCTCTTGGCGAGCTGATGTCGTTCGTGGATCTGTTTCTCTTCCAGCTCCCATAGAGCAGCTTCTCGAGTCCGCATTATCTATGGAGAGAAAGTATTGTTAAGTTAGTAAGTTTATTTGATCATCTATATTAGTTTTTTTGTATAGTAACCCCATTGTGAGAGACACTTAATTCAAAAATAACGACTTACTCAAGCGGACAAGGGCTGATTTTTCAATGGTTAGATAAAAGTTACCTGGCGAATAACTATGATGCTGTCGCGTCACAATGTTTGTATAAGACAGTGACTGTCTGAATAAATTGTATTTTGTGTTTTGCTTTTTAGAACATTGCCTTGCACTAGGATTTTTTCCTGACTCGTGGGTGCGTTTGTGGGTACGTTACAAACATACAATTTCTCTTCCTATGAAAGAAAGAGAAAGAGAGGGGGGGTGAGAGGAAATTTGAGCGGATGAGGAAAGAGAGTGAAGGTGAGAGATCGGGGATAAGATAAAGAGATATGATAAATAGGAATATGATAGATAGGGATATTTCGTCGTGTATGGCCACCCAACTAGTACATGTAGGAGTATACCTGGTGTCGCTGCTGCAGGTACTGCGTGTCAGCGAGCGCCTGTCGGTCGCGGTGCGCGTCGTGTATGGCCACCCAACTAGTACATGTAGGAGTATACCTGGTGTCGCTGCTGCAGGTACTGCGTGTCAGCGAGCGCCTGTCGGTCGCGGTGCGCGTCGTGTATGGCCACCCAACTAGTACATGTAGGAGTATACCTGGTGTCGCTGCTGCAGGTACTGCGTGTCAGCGAGCGCCTGTCGGTCGCGGTGCGCGTCGTGTATGGCCACCCAACTAGTACATGTAGGAGTATACCTGGTGTCGCTGCTGCAGGTACTGCGTGTCAGCGAGCGCCTGTCGGTCGCGGTGCGCGTCGTGTATGGCCACCCAACTAGTACATGTAGGAGTATACCTGGTGTCGCTGCTGCAGGTACTGCGTGTCAGCGAGCGCCTGTCGGTCGCGGTGCGCGTCGTGTATGGCCACCCAACTAGTACATGTAGGAGTATACCTGGTGTCGCTGCTGCAGGTACTGCGTGTCAGCGAGCGCCTGTCGGTCGCGGTGCGCGTCGTGTATGGCCACCCAACTAGTACATGTAGGAGTATACCTGGTGTCGCTGCTGCAGGTACTGCGTGTCAGCGAGCGCCTGTCGGTCGCGGTGCGCGTCGTGTATGGCCACCCAACTAGTACATGTAGGAGTATACCTGGTGTCGCTGCTGCAGGTACTGCGTGTCAGCGAGCGCCTGTCGGTCGCGGTGCGCGTCGTGTATGGCCACCCAACTAGTACATGTAGGAGTATACCTGGTGTCGCTGCTGCAGGTACTGCGTGTCAGCGAGCGCCTGTCGGTCGCGGTGCGCGTCGTGTATGGCCACCCAACTAGTACATGTAGGAGTATACCTGGTGTCGCTGCTGCAGGTACTGCGTGTCAGCGAGCGCCTGTCGGTCGCGGTGCGCGTCGTGTATGGCCACCCAACTAGTACATGTAGGAGTATACCTGGTGTCGCTGCTGCAGGTACTGCGTGTCAGCGAGCGCCTGTCGGTCGCGGTGCGCGTCGTGTATGCGCCGCAGCACGGCGTCGGCGGCGTCGGCGAGCGCGGCGACGAAGGCCCGCTCGCGCTCCGCGTGCTCGGCGTCCAGCCGCGCGCGCCGCGACCGGTACGCGTCCTGATCACAAACACGCACTCTTATCCCGCTATCCCAATACATGTTTTACTAGCGTTCACGTCAACGTCGCTTTTGCTCAGCGTCGACGCCGCGCTGACGCGACGTTAACTTCGCCTTTGTTGACAACAAGTGTATGCCAAAAACAACATTTGATAGAGCAGGAGGAGGCGAGATAGTACCTGCGACGTTGAGTTCGCGTCCAACGGACGTTAGTGCTTGTCAACGTCGCGTCCGCGCAACGTTGACGCTGCGTCGTCACACTCATAAAACGCCAGTGGGACAGAGGCCTTACTTCACTTACTCATTTATATATAGAACTTAATAAGTATCTTATTATCTATCGTAGAAACCGAAATTACAGTGTCTAACGGCATTTATTCAAATTCAAAGAAATACATTGTTTACATATTATGCGTCTAACGTTACCAAAACATAGTATATGAACGGATTACAGGGCATGTAGAAGAAAATTTTAATAAAAGCATAAACCGGTTCTCAAAATAACTATCTGTCAATCTATTCGTCAATAAAATTAAGAGCTCATTCTAAAGTTTACATTCAAACAAGAAGGAACGAACAAGAAGCTCAATTGCTACAGAAAAGACCAAAATCTTATGAATTAATCACTTTTATGGTTAACTTTATAAGATCACCGGAGGTCAAAACATAGCTTCCTCTGCTCCCGTTCCCAATCCCTACATATCGGAAAACCTAATCCTAAAAAGGCGGCAACGCTCTAGTAATTCCTCTGAAGTTGCAGGTGTCCATGGGCGACGCCAATTGCTTACCATCAAGTAATCACTGATCAGTCTGAATATTGTTTTCCGCTGCATGGTGTGTATGTCATTAAACTCTTAAACAGCTTGACCGATTTCAATTATTTTTTATATAGATTCACTAATCAGCTCGTTAGATGGCGCTGATGCTTGAAAAAGCATGTGATCTCGGAAACGGTCCTGATGATTTCGCTGAAATTTGATATGTAGGGAGGGTCTATTAGAAATTATATGTATTTAAATTTATTTTTTTGTTACCTTGCGTCTTTCCTTGGCGACTAGCTCGACTTCCTGCTTGAGTAACCTGAGCTCCTGTTTGAGGGTGTCCCGGAAGTGTCGCAGGTCTCTCTCGTGGTCGGCCCGAAGTCGTTTGGCGGCGTGCCTTAGTTCGGCTTCGAGCGCCGCGTCGGCTCGCTCCGCGGCGGCGCGCTGAGCCCGCGCTAAGGCTTCCAGGTCGGCCTCGTGAGCCCTACCTAAGGCCACTAGCTCTGCTTCGAACCTGAGGATATTGTTTATGATTTAGATTTTCCTTTATAACTTGATCTATCAAAGTTTTAGTTTAATAATATACCGCGGCCCCGGCTCGGAGCAGAAGGAACAAGGGTGGTTTTTAGTCAGTAAGAGTCTAACACTACCTCTCACCTAGCCAGGGTTGCGGGGTAAGCGCAATGAGGCACCGTGACCTCGGCTCAGAGCAGGAGAAGGAACTGGGGGGTTTATAGTCAGTAAGAGTCTGACACTCCCTCCCGCCCAGGGCCGGACGGGAGAAGCCATTTGATGATTTTCCCCTTACAAAAAAAACCTCTCACCTCACCCTGGCTGGCCAAAAGACATTACATGGCATTTTATGATATACTATTCCCTCATTAAAGATTTTTAAAGAACGCATTTTTTTAAACTGGTAAGAATGATTGAAGAGGAAGGTTTATGTGTATAATGACATATATTATATAGTGGAGAAATTTAGTATGAGCATTGCTCCCGTGCGAAGGCCTATCGCTAGTAGCTTTATAAAACACTTACTTAGTTGCATAAAGCTAAATACAAAAACATCATCAATATAATTAACACATCAAATGTGGGAGAGCCATGCTTCGGCACGACCGGAGAGGTATCACGGCTTTTTTATGTAATAGTTCGGCAAACGAGCAGACGGATTACCTGATGGTAAGCAATCAGCGCCGCCCATGGTCACTCGCAACGGAGCAGTTACGAGTGCGTTGCCGACCTTAAGGCAACCTATCCCTTGGGATTAGGGATTTGGAGATTAGGGATTGAGGAGCGATTGGGGGAGAAGGATTGGGCCTCCGGTAACCTCTCTCACACGGCGAAACACAACGCTGTGGTTGTTTCACGCCGGTTTTCTGTGAGCCGTGGTATCACATTGGTCGCCGACCCATTCCGATGCCGAAGCATGGCTCTCCCACACTTAGCACGGCTTCACAGAAAACCGGCATGAAACTAAATCCCCAAAAGGTCGACGAGGCACATGTCCATGGGCGGCAATGATTGCTTACCATCACCTAATCCGTCCGCTCGTTTACCGACATACCTCAAAAAATCTAAGAAATAGAACGTACCTTTTATCCTGCTGTTCCCTAAGCTGTGTCTCTTTGGCGTTGAGGTCCTGGAACTGCTTCTGTTCCTGTTTCTGCAGCATCTTGATCTCGCGCAGTTCCTGCTTCCGAAGCGCGTGGTCGTCCCACGTGCGACCGCTCTCCTCGTCACCCCATATCACCTGGATACACAATACACGGGGATACAGGTAAAGAAGTTAACACTATATTTTGGTGTTTACATATGGTCTATCAGGTTCGGTAATGTAAACAATCTTCGCTACTAATAAATTAGGCTTACAAGATAATATTATTTACTATACATACATGGTATTCTATAGTATTACTGTCATGATAAGTTAATTAAATTTAGTTCAAAGGGGAGAAAAAGTATTAAATAATAATAATTGATTCAACAGACAAACTATTTGTATAGTTTTGTTGGACATCTTGTATATTATAAAACTTAAAATGTATGATAGAGCGTCGATTATTGAAATTGAATTTTGAAGGAGGTTTTATCACAATTCATCGGACGAGGGTACAATGAATTGTACTCTGGCGGAACGTCAAACAGACAGTTCTGCGTACGCATTATGGTGGAGAGCGAGCGCTGTGACTGTCATATGAGACGGATCGCCGACGTCCGTTATTTTTGTAATTTATTCGGTCTGATTGCAAAATCCTACGCCTTGCGACAGACTGTGAAGACGATGCTCGGGTTGTTGATGTTTATACCAACCCACGGAGTAAGAACAAAGAGGAGATGTCATAATTAGATTTCCCTAAGAAACACCGCGTGATATTTTGCGGGGTGAGGGGGTATTAGACTCCGCCCACTTTTTTATTTGCCATCTGCCGGTCTATAGCAATACTACTCGCTCATTCAATTTACTTCTTTTTGTAGTTATGTAACTATTTCACAATAGATGTCACTAACGCAACAGGGTCGTACTTAGAACGGGAGTTGTTTTAAAAAGTTTTTTGTAAATACATTTGCGAATCAGCTTGATCCGCATTTTTTTATCGAAATAGTAATAAATATCTAAAATATCTATAATTGGTGAACGAGAATCATTATACATTTATCAAAACCATCTTTTTCATTTAAAATGGGTTATTTCGTTACGGGCCTAGCCTGAAGCAGAAACTCGTATACAATGCTACCAAGAGGCTGATGCCCTGCTGATAGCTGGTTCTTTGTGATAACGAGTGTTATTATTAGATATGCCATTACTTTACTAATGTGTAACTTGGAACGGCATATGCGTTTAGACTGGTGCCATCTTCAAACATACGATTCAGGGATGCGTCGACGAAATAAAAGACTCCAAGTGTATCTTCATAGGTCTTGAAGGGACAAGGCCTCTATCTACGATAAAACTACTAGCGGCCCGGTACGTGCTTCACTACGTTCAAGTATATCATAAAATATAATCAAAAATATATTATATGTTCATTTAACAAAAAAAAAATGTTACGTTTGCTATGTTAAACTCCAAACGAGTCACAAGATATATTATTGAAAATTAATGGCATTGATATAAATGTTCTTCGGTGCTATTGTCTGATAGTGTGTTCTGTGAACCAGATAATCATTTCTGCAATTCTGAAGAATATTCGGAAAAACACATTCAATCAACTCATCTATAGATTGCGCAATTGTATAAAAAATATTCGGTAAAATGACCGATCCGTCGGTACTGTCAATTGGTATTTTGCCATCACCAATCCAAACTAATATTATAAATGCGAAAGTAACTCTGTCTGTCTTTTCTTTACGCCTAAACTACTGAACCTATTTGAGTGAAATTTGGTACAGACATAGTTTGGAACTCTAGAAAGGACATATGATAGTTTTTAAACCCAAAATCTACAGGAAGTCGCTATACCAAGCGAACAAAGTCGCGGGCAAAAGCTAGTTTCTAATAATTGTTTTGAAAACTCATGGGCAGTTGCATCATTACGTAGCTGAATACGCATTATTACTAAAGTTCAGTGTCAATTTTCGTATAAGTATATCTCCAAATAACTGATGACTTCAAACAGGTTTTTCATCAGCAGGAGTTGATCGAGGAATAACAGGCAATGTTTGACGAAAGCCCCCTGACAGCAATATCAGAGCACCACGAAAAACCTGTTGAGTACCGCGTAAATTTTGCATGGTTCGATTAAATGCTTCTATTGATTTTTTATTCGCCATTGTATGAGTGCATCCCATATAATAATTGACGTTAGTTGCAAAACTTTTGCCATAGCAAAATTTCTTAAAATATTACAAGTTGCACTTTAAATCCCCTGTACATTCAATAGCAATGCTAATGAAGAGTGTGCGGTCCTACCACCTTCTAATAATGTAACAGCAATCGTCTTGATTTGCATTACAGGTTCGCCGGTTTTACCTCAACAATATTTTGGATCATATAAAAACACAAAACAATAACTCAACAATATTTTGGAACAATAACGAACATTACATCTAATTAACTAGTGGTATGTTAAATGCTATTCCAAAGTTAATAATACCGCCAGATTCTTCATATATAACACATCCTAATTATCTTCACGACTATCATAGGTACTATTTACCATGAAAAACGAACAAAAACTGCCCTAATGTGACGACATATTTCGAAATAAACGAACAATGGAACAAAAAGATATGTACGAAGGACAGAGTATGTTGTGGGCATTTCATAGGCTTACCAGCGATACATATCTGAGTTGTATGATGCAAGTCCTGATGCCTTTAATTTGGGGTTGAAATAAAAACCGAAGAGGAACTTTAGAAGTATAAATAAGGTCGTTCAGTTTCAAACACTCAGGCACTAAGATTTAGCACTCACAGCGTGCGGTAAGGTGCGCTAAATTTGAGTGATTCCATTCGCGACTTAAATAAATCAACGATACCTATAAATCTTAAAAAGTAATTGACTCCTAATTACTGCCCTGTCTTTATTTATGTTTTACTACTTGACAATAGATGGCAGTCTGTTTATAAAATGATATAAAAGTTACATAAATAATATTTTGGCGATTAAAGGATCTTTAGGAATGCATGTCGATCAAATTACTATACAAACGATCATTAAAATATACTAATACTGAACTAAGCGTACCTATAAAAATTTTGTTTCTGTGATACAAAGTGTCGACATCTAGTGTCGCGTAGATTGATAATTGGAAACGCTGACAATAAGAGACTTTGCTAGAACTATTTTAAAAAATGACGAATAAAATAACTTATACATGAAAAGTGATGCCATCCATAGCACCGTAACGTTTATCATAGTATTTTTTACAAGATAAAACACAAGACTTAATTTTGTTTTCTTCTGGCACGAGTAAAATGAATATTTTATAGGAGTTGTGCACAGGACGAACGACCACATTACACTGACGTAAGCCACGCCCACATTGATGACGTGAGGGCCGACTTGTGTCACAGGGCCGAGTTGTTTAGGCCGTCTCCTCTTTGTTCTTACTCCGTGTACCAACCCCCCGGTGCCTTCGTGTACATATTTAAATCAATAATAATATTAATATGTCTCATCTAAAAATAGTTTGTAAAAATGTTTACAATCCGGTATTTACCTAAATCGATATTAGCTAATAAACTAAATGCATAAATTAGCTTTGTATGTATTTTATACTTCTTTAAAATAAAAATACAAATGTGGAATGATGAGATGTTGTGAGATTTTTTTAAGAAACGTCTCCCCCTTCCCTTAGTCTGATGTGAGATTTTTCATAATGTTGATTTTATACGTAAACGTGCTGTACTGTTATCAAGAACAATTTGGTTCATACTTGAGAGTTATAAATGTAATAAAATTTAAAAATTTTATTACTCTCAGCAATATTGATTAAAAGTCTTAACTAACTAATACTTATAAACTAATTTTAGTTTATAAGTATTCAAAATAGATGGCCCTGTAAGGTTTTATTCAGACTAGTATTATTAGTAACCGATGGTATGACAGCGACTTTACTCACTACTCAATCATTCAGCTACGATTGGTGCGTTCGTTCGCGCATCTATGGACGGTCACTTTCGAATGCTAAGCTGAAGAACCTGTCAATCCGATTAGATCTGCGGCGTGACTTGTTATTTAAATAATTTAAGATTGATAATTGAATATACGTGTGCTATACAATTATCTGGAGACTTATTTATGAATTCTGCAACGATGGATGATGATAGGAGTGTACATGTCAACCTGACCACAGAGGACGTCCCGTCAAATAAATAAATAACTGACCTTGGAAGTAGTGGTAGTGACAATAACGCCATCTATTTCGAATTTTCTCGTGCGTTTCCTGGTCTTCTTCTTGAGGTTCGCCATGTGTATGTCCTCTTTGGACCTCTGTATCCTGTTGACTGGCTGACCATCCTGTTGCTTTCTTCTAAGCACGACCGGTTCTTCGGCGCCGTTGTCCAAGTTTTGACCGTCTGCGTTCACTCTGCGAAATAGGTAACCATTTATGTTAGGAACATTCTAATCTATATATTTCATTTTTGTTTTTAGGAATACCATTTCTCCACTCTACTGTTTTCTTTTATGTCGTGGGTTAGTTTTAAGTCGTGGTAGCCCGGAAATGGAAGCGCCCGGTTTTCATTCTTGGGAAGATATTGAAGTGGTAATTCAAGACATATTAGAAGGAAAATAGGTGCGCGAAAAGCGAAAAGCGTTCGCTTGGTTTGATGAATTAAACAGTGGAGAAATTTTGTATCAGTATTGCACCCGTGCTACGCCGGGGCGGGTCGCTAGATTATATTAAACATAATGTTCTAATATGAGAGTAAACCCCGGTTTCCGAAAGGCCGATCACCGTTAAAATCAATTTAATATCTTGTCAAGTCATCTGATTGGTTGACTGAATTATCATCAACCAATCAGATGACTTGACAAGAGATTTAACAGGGGATTAGTTAATTTTAGCGTTGACCTTTCAGAAACTGGGTGTAAGAGTATATTTTGTTTGACGTTTAAAATTGCTGGCTAATCATCATCATAAACAGCTTATAAGTACCCATTGCTGAGCAAAGGTCTCTTCTCACACGGAGAAGGTTTGAGCATTAATCATGGATTTACGATTTCATACTTATAATTAGAAATTATAAGTCCAGGTTTCCTAACGATGTTTATCTTCACCGTATGTCAGTGGTGTCTAAATAATCATAGAAAGTGCATATAACTCGGCAAAATTCACATTAGTACTTGCCCGGTATCGGACGCGCACCCTCATGCATGAGAAGCGGGCGCCTTAACCTCCGGGCCACGACGAAATTGCTAACTAATATTCAACATGCTGGCTAATGTTTTAATTTAAACAAATGTTTTGATTTTGTCTTCGACTACACTTAAGAAAACGCAAATAGCTCCATTTTGACGACTCTCCGATTATTAATATTATTAACAACATTGGTCACAAGAGTCTGCTTGTGACCACGACCTGTGCAACCGGGTCGAAACGTCAAGCCTACCAAGGTATTCAAATTATAATTTTCCGCGTTAATACCCGCGTAAATATAATGTTGTTAAGATGAAACGCGAAAGTTTAAAAGTTAGTATATATTAAGGGGTATACCTAGCGCCGCCATTGAGCTCGGTCCCCAGATGGGCCAGATGCAGCTGGTCGTCGTGGGACGCGCTGGTGGGGGTCGCGGCGCTCAGCGAGTCGGCGTCGCGCGCCGCGCGGGACCCGCTCGATACCGACCCACTGTCCGACTGGGATCTGCTGTGGGATGTAAAAATAATAATATAGTATTCTATACTAATATTATAAAGAGGTAAAATTTGTAACTTTGTATGTAGGGGGTAATCTTTGGAACAGATTGCCAAAATTCTTTCACTGATAGATAGCTACAATTTTCCCGAATGCTATAGGCTATAAAACATCACGCTACGATATGTTGGAGCCGAGCAGCAGGTGAAACCGAGCTAGTGTAAGTTTTAAGATCGGTTGGCGTGGCGGCTGGGAAACTGGCTGCGGCGCAACGTGTCACGGGTTCGATTCCAGCACGGAACAACTCTTTTTGTGATCCACAGATTGTTGTTCCGGGTCTGTTGTATGTTTGTAAACACACCCACGACACAGGAGAAAATCCTAATGAGGGGGGAATTGTTTTTTTTTTTTTTAAAGAGAAAAAAAGATATATCTATATTAATACGAACTTATGTATTTGTCATTTATTTTATATAAATACCTTTCAAAGCTATCGGGACTGAGTCGCGTACTGACGGAGCCGAGAGCGATGTGTGTCGCGGCCGAGTCTCGAACCCGGATCTCTTCATTGCCCACCGTCACTACTGATACGTGGGATGTGTCCTGTAAATTATTGATACATTACAAATTAAAATATTATTAGAAAATTATAAATACTGATGTGTATTAACGTCTAACAACTGTTAGGTATTAGTATTTTTGTACAAGTGTTACTTAGGAAACAGAATAATCTCTTTTGACTATTTTAATATTAATTACTATTAATTGTATTCACGCGACTTTTTAGTCGTCTTACAAAGGCCAGTTCATATATCCAATGACTAGTAAACGTTCATAATACAAAAAAATGAGATTTAAATAATTTAAAAATAAAAATATTTTTTTTTTATGTAATAAGTCGGCAAACGAGCAGACGAATTACCTGATGGTAAGCAATCAGCGCCGCCCATGGACACCCGCAACGGAGGAGTTACGAGTGCGTTGTCGACCTTTTAGGGATTAGGGATTTGAGATTTAGGGATTGAGGAGGGATTGGGGGCGGGGAAGGATTGGGCCTCCGGTAACCTCACTCACACGGCGAAACACAACTTCGGTGGTATTTCAATAAATCATTAATGTAATAATCTTACCAGATGCAGTCCGTTGGTGACGCTGTCGTCGAAGACGCCGGAGTCGGTGGCGGCTGCCGTGGGGCTGAGGATCAGGACCTCACTGCTGTCCAGACGACGACCACGAGCTTTTTCTAAACAATACACGAGAAACAATAATGAGGTATCGTCGTAAATAGACAGAAAGAAAGAAAAACTATTTATTACGCCACGACATATAACAAGAATACAGGTACACACACACACACACACACACAAAAAGCCTATCTATATGTAAAAAAAATATTGTTTTTGATTAGCGATCATCCATAAAGTCCGTCACACGTAAAGGAGCGGCGACAAAGTGTTACAAGGTGTGTGTGACAAGGGGTGGGAGCTGTCCTAAATGTTGTGACATCACATTTCAAAATCTAATACACCTAGAGGTACTAATCGCGTTATATGAAATATTATTAATCAAACTTTAAAGTGTGGGAGAGCCATGCTTCGGCACGAATGGGTCGGCTCGACCAGAGTGATACCACGGTCATATAGAAAACCGGCGTGAAACAACCACAGCCTTGTGTTCCGTGTGAATGAAATCTTTTTTCTTTTTTTAAAAAAACGTTGCCCCACACTAGGGTTTTCTCCTGTGTCGTGGGTTCGGTTACAAACATTCAATTTCACATAAGTACACATCACACCCAGACCCGGAACAACAATTTGTGGATCACACAAAGAGTTGTTACGTGCGGGAATCGAACCCGCGACTTGTGGCACGGTAGCCAGTTGCCCAGCCACCACGCCAACCGTGCAGTCAAATCACCGGAGGCCCAACCTCCCAAGTCAGGCAACGCACTCCTAACTCCATGTCCTATGTCTACGGGCAGCGCTGATTGCTTACCATCAGGTAATCCGTCTGTCTGCTCCTTTGCTTACATCTCCCATATACAAATAACTTACCGCTATAATGCGTGCAATCCAAGGAGTCAAGAGATGACGGCGCGAAGCAGTCATCGTCTGATGAGGACCCGGCGCCGACGATCACCACCTCGTCGGCGATGGGGGGCGTCGTTGATATCGTCACCGCGTTTGGTGGGAGCTGGGGAATACAATTTTTATATATTTTAATTTCCAATGAACTTGGGTACATATTAATACTGTTTTTTTGATAATACGGATATCTATGTAGTTGTAATATTTTGTTTGTTTGAGAGCTGAATTTTTCAATGGTTAGATAAAAGTTACCTGGGGAATAATTATGATGCTGTCGCGTCACAATGTTTGTATAAGACGGTGACAGTAACAATTTATTCCTCAGATAACATTTATCTGACTATTGAAAAATCAGCTATATGAATGAATTGAATAATAGGCTCTGAAACAACTTGATCGAATTAAAAACCTCTTTCACTGCTGTGAAACTACAATCTACCCGATGAACATAGGTTATAAACTACATGAGTGTCAAAAACATAAAAATTATTTTCTTCAGAGTTAAATCATTTATAAAATAATTGATAAGAAAAATTGATTGATAATTGACAACACAAGCATTACTTAAAATCGACTTTGAATTCATTGTAAGTTGGCGCAGTGCAACGTGTTGCGGGTTCGATTCCCGCACGAAACAACACTTTGTGATCCACAAATTGTTGTTTCGGGTTTAGTTGTGATATGTGGTAGAATTTGTATGTTTTTAAACGTATCTAGGAGACAGTAGAAAATCCTAGTATGAGGCCAACGTTTATAAGAAAAGGAGTCAAAAATTACACAAAGTGCCGTTCAGTGCGGGAATCGAACCTGTGATACTACACAACAGCTAATTATAGATCAGTTTTGGAATCGAACCCGTGAACACTTTGTACAGCAGCTAATTACACAACTGTTGTTCAGTGTAGAGAATCGAACCCGTGACACTACACAGTATTTAATTACACAACTGTTGTTCAGTGTATAGAATCGAACCCGTGACACTTTGCACAGCAGCTAATTACATAAAGTATAATTGTTTAATGCGGGGATTGATTCCGCGACGCTTTACATAGTAGCTAATTACACATGTGCTGTTTACTATAGGAATTTAATCCATGACACATTGTAAAGTAACCCGGCTAGGAACAGCTGGAGCTTTGAGTGCTTAGAGTATAGGAAAAAGGTTGGATACATACTCGTGCGGCGGTGCTGAGTACGGGTGGGTGCGTGGTGGTGACGGTGACGAGGCCGGCGGGGGCGGCGGCCGCCAGGCTGTTGGGCTCCGCCGGCGCCGGGACCTCCGTCACCGACACCACCAGCGGGGGCACCGACACCACCACCACCGGCGGCTGCCGACAACAAAAAGTTTAATCTTATAAACACCGTCCTCGGCTTCTTATGACCCGCATATAATTTTTCAAATAAAATAAAAAATGTTTAATCTTACAAACACAGTCCTCGAAACCTGTGGACCCTCGTATGATGGGCTCGGGCTTCAATGTGCCTTGATAAAACACACTAGTATATATAGCAGGTTTCTAACCCGCACCCTCATACATGAGAAGCGGGCTTCTTAACTACGAATCACAACAATAAAATACAATAATTGGGTATTTTTCTAGGTCAAAAATAAATTAATTCGACGTTTCAATACAATATTAAAAATATTGAAAAATGAATTTTAAACATTTTTAGCTAACTTCTAAAAAAATAGTAAGCTATTTGACACAAAAATACTATAACGTAATAACTCAGTTTTTCATACAAATTTCATAGAAAAGTTTTTGACGTTTGGATAAAAGTATTGAATTTGACTAGTTGGAAACTACCTTATAGTATGTAGTTTGTAGTTCTTCAAATCATTATTTGTGCAAATTAAAATAAATATAACTTTACCAAAAAACTTAAAATGATGATATTTAAGTATAATGGTAAACAAATTATTCAACAATTAATCATTCAAAACTTTCACATATTTAAATTACATGCACAAATTATTATAAAAATTATCTTACCGTCACAGGCCTAATTTCGACAGCATTATGCTGCGATCTCCTCTCATTCTTCTCCTCTCTCCTCTTATCATCCTCATCCGTAGAACCGGATCGAGATATACTCTTCTCTAACCTACTTACTTCTGCGCTCACCCTATTCACTTCTACGCCAGTCTTCTCTATCGAGTTTCTCTTTTCAATTTTTCTTCTTTCAATTTCAATTTTATCCGCTTCCCTTTTATCTACATCTCTTTTTTCATTCTCAATCTCTGTTCTCACTTTATCTTCTACGTTGTTCTGTTTTGTTTGCTGTACGGGTGTCTGTTTTTCTGTGTCTGACTGTTTTTGTTCTTCGTTTATTGTTTTTGGCTCCGATTTCTTGTTTTCTACTGCTTTCTCTGCGTCTCTGCATACCTGGGTAAAAGGAAGTAGGAATAGTTATAGTATTATAACTACATAGTATAAAACAAAGTCGCTTTCTCTGTCCCTATATCCCTATGTACGCTTAAATCTTTAAAACTACGCAACGGATTTTGATGCGGCTTTTAAATAGATAGTTTGATTGAAGAGGAAGGTTTATAAATGTATATAATAACATCCATTAATAGTGGAGAAATTTAATATCGACATTTGTTACTCTTTCACGTAAAAACTACAGAACGGATCTGTTCAGAAACATAACTTTTGAATTTGTTAAATTGTTGTTACGTAGATTGAAAAAGGTGCATTTTACTATGTAATGAAGCAGGATAATTTCAGTTTTAGTGTGGGAGAGCCATACTTCGACACGAATGAGTCGGCTCGAACGAAGTGATACCACGGCCTCACAGAATACCGGCGTGAAACAACCGCAGCGTTGTGTTTCGCCGTGTGTGTGAAGTTACCGAAGGCCCAATCCTTCCCCGCCCCCAATCCCTAAATCTCCAAATCCCTAATCCCTAAAAGGTCGGCAACGCACTCTTAACTCCTCCGTTGCGGGTGTCCATGGGCGGCGCTGATTGCTTACCATCAGGTAATCCGTCTGCTAGTTTGCCGATCAATTACATAAAAAAAAAAACTAACCAATTTAGAAGAACGATCTATACCACATAATCATGATTTTGAAATAAAAATGTTCCAACGTACCTGGTCTACGATCAGCCTGCCAGCTGTAGCGGTATCTGCGACCTCGTCTCGCGCGGGGGACGACGACGGGGTCTGGGGAGGAGTGGGGGACGGGGTCGGGGAGGGGGACGCTTGCCGTGCCTGTGTAGCGGCCGGGACGGGCGGCGGAGGGGCGGGCTGCTTGCGAGCTGGGGTCGTTGCGGTCGTGGGGGAGACGGTGGTTGTAGGGGTGGAAGGTGTCGATGAAGGTGGTGGGGGTGCCGGGCCTTTCTCTTTTTTTGGTGCCTGTAACGAAGAATTTATGGATTTAAATGTCTGTTAATATGTATAACTCAAACCTAGATTTTTTTCTTCAAGTTGTTGTCCCACAATAGGATTTTCTCCTGTATCGTGGGTGCGTTTACAAACATACAATAAACACATACACATGACACCCAGACCCGGAACAACAATTTGTGGATCACACAAAGAGTTTGCGAGAATCGAACGCGCAACACGTTGCGCGGCACCCAGTTACTTGGTCACGGCACCAATCGTGCAGTCATATTCGATTGATTCGAGATGAAAGTAGGTTGTCGTTCTTAGATTCACAGGGCATTGTCTAGAAGTCTAGAAATGGTCAGGAACAGAATGACGACGATGATAATGTTTCGACCATAAATTGATATTATCCGAAAATCATAATCGCTTAACACCAGGCGAGATAGCGGCAAACGCCTGCCTATTAATAAATAAAAACGTAACAAGAAGTGGTTCTCAATCCCACCTTGTAATAGAGATTCTGAATAGATATTTTTCTTTGTTGCAAGCTACTTCAGTTTAAAGAAATTTATTTCTCAAACAGAACATATATAGTTCACTCACTTAAATATGAGAAACTTGGAATTGAAAAATATAATTATAAAATTTAAAAAACCAACGACTAAAAATCTGATATTAAAATAATATTAACTTTAATTACTTTAAAATATTAATGGACCCGTCCGAAGCGGGGGCGGGCCGCTAGCCTATACTAATATTATAAAGAGGTAAAATTTGTAAGTTTGTATGTAGGGGGTAAATTTCGGAAGCACTGGTCGGATTGGCAAAATTCTTTCACTGATAGAAAGCTACAATGTTTCTGAGTGCTATAGGCTATAACATCATGCTACGATCAAATGGAGCCGAGCAGCGGGTGAAACCGCGCGAGAATAGCTAGTTTATTATTAATCTGCTACTTACGGGAGGTTTCCTGTCAGCAGGCGGGTGCTCGTCTTCGTGGGGGCGCTTGTTGGCGGGGGGCGCAGGCGCGGCCGCGGTGGGGGGCGACGGCGCGGCTGCGGGGGCGGGGGGCGCAGCCGCAGGGGACGGGGGCGCGGCCGCGGGGGACGGGGGCGCGCGCCTCGCCGTTCCCACCGGGGTCGTACCAGCTGTGGGCTCCTCCGACACTGAAAATATACACTGATTAAGAATATGGCTAGGATTCTTATCTTACTTTAGGTTTTTTGGGATCGGCATAATATGTCGTCTTCATCCTTTCTTCCATTATAGACATCATTATAACAAGAAACACAATTAAAATGATTCGTTAAAAAGTATTGATACAAATTGCCGACAAAAACAAGTTACGACATTTCCAACTGCCGTACTTTCCGTCTACTTTCCGTTTACAAAAACGTTCCTCTACACAAAGATTGTTGCCTGCATCGATCACACTAAAAACGATGCTGCGTGCGAGAATCGAAACCGCGTCACCGCCAGTTGCCCGGCGAATGCGTCGAAGTTGAAGGTCATATGAGGGGGGGGGGGGGGGGGGGGGGAAGCTCACCAGTCCCTCAGCTTTTATAACTTATATATAAGGATAATGAGAGTGACTTGGTTGTATACTCACTCTTGACGTCCGGCGTGTCGGCTGAGCGGACGGAGGTAGAGTCATCTTCCTCCATAGGTATATGCGAGCTGCGCGGCTCCTGGACAACATACATGCATATAATATTATTACAATCTACATATACATCGCCTGCAAATTGTTTTGGTATGAAGATATGGAAATAAACTATAGATTAAGGCGCGTAGCGGTCAAATTGAGTCTGAAAGAGCCAATAGACCATCACAGACGGGGTCTAACAGGGCTGATGTTCAGCCGGGGTTGCGGGGTAAGCGCAATGAGGAACCGCGACTTCGGCCCAAAGCAGGAGAAGGGGTCGCGGCACATTATTGTCCTTGCACAATATCTTAACTACCTACATAATGTGTATTAATATGTTACCCCATATCATAAGTTATCTATCTATATATATATATAAAATTTTTGGTAAAGATTTGGCTTCTTTTCGTTTGAATTGTTCGTGGAAGTCTAGAAAAGATTTGTACGTAGGGAAATCGACATTCACGCGGGCTGAGCCGCGGGCGACCGCAAGTATTTTATATATGTATAATAATATAATAATATATATATTGTATGTTATAGCTTATATTATTAGTATGTTACCTTCGACGCAGGCGGACGATCTAGCGGCTGGCCGTCCGATTCGATTGCAATGTAAACGATACACACATCACATTAACGTTATTGTACATATAACAGTATAAAACAAAGTCGCTTTCTCTGTCCCTATATCCCTATGTATGCTTAAATCTTTAAAACTACGCAACGGATTTTGATAAGGTTTTTCTTGTAGATAGAGTGATTGAAGAGGAAGGTTTATATGTATAATAACATTCTTTAAATAATGGAGAATTTTTTTATCAGTGATGCATAGAAATACATATATTCAGCTTATTAATAATGTAACCAAGTATAAACCCCGGTTTCCGAAAGGCCGATCAATGTTAAAATCAATTTAATCTCTTGTCAAGTCATCTGATTGGTTGACTGAATTATCAACAACCAATCAGATGACTTGACAAGATATCTAACAGGAGATTAGTTAATTTTAGCGTTAACAAGCCTTTCAGAAACCGGGTGTAAGACTGTAAAACTGATTGAAAAAGAGTAACCATGGAGTTTCTTGCTCGTTCTTCTCCATAGGAATCTACACTTTGGAACGAGCAAATAGCTAGGAGGACTGACAGACAGACTGACACTTTTTATCTTTAAGCTTTGTTTGACGTTCAAAAGTGTCTGTCATCGTCTAAATGAAATCCAAAATTTTAATTTTGACTTTAATATTATAAATGTGAAGGTTTCTTATCACGGATAGAAGTTTGTTACTCTTTCAAGTAAAAAGTACTAATTAATTTTGTTACAATTTGGCAAAGAGATAGATTCAAATCCGGAATAATATATAGTCTACTTTTTACCCCAGCTGATTGATTGAACGTCTATTTTAAATAGTTGGCTGCTACATACATATGCATAGATTTTTAAATGTACGAAACAGATTTGATCCAATTACTTTAACCTTTCAACTATGGTAATTGGAGACACTAGTAAGGCAATAGGAAATAGAGAAACGAACGCCGGCGTTCGTTTGGGCTTTGATGGGTGTTTTTTTTATGTAATAGTACGGCAAACGAGCAGACGCATTAGCTGATCGTAAGCAATCAGCGCTGCCCGTGGACCCTCGCAACGGAGGAGTTACGAGTGCGTTGCCGACCTTTTAGGGATTAGGGATTTGGAGAATCAGGGATTGAGGAGGGATTGGGGGAGGAAAAGGATTGGGCCTCCGGTAACCTCACTCACAAGGCGAAACACAACGCTGTGGTTGTTTCACTCCGGTTTTCTGTGAGGCCGTGGTATCACTCCGGTCGAGCCGAAGCATGGCTCTCCCACACTTGATAACGTGATGAATAAAATAGATATATTATTTCAACATGGAAGGTTATAAGGCGTATAATTTATTAAGGTTAGCGGACCAAGTAGCGAGGAGGAATCTAGCTACACATATTACATAAGTTGTTGAAGGAAATAAAATAAGTAAATACTCATTATATACTAACCAATTCTCTGGTACTGTTCCTTTGTTCGCTTGCCTCTCCTCGACTTCGACTACATACGTACATTGCAGAGTCACATCGAAAAGAGGCAAGCATGTTAGTAAGCGTGCAATCAAAGCAAAAATATGTGATGTTAATTATATTAAGTATATTATTTGTGTAATAATAATAATTAGTGTATTTTCATGTCTTCTTAAAGACCATCTTCTCCGTAGATCTTTCCACCATAGTACCACTAGACAATCGGCAAAATATCACCGCTTTATGGTGGATACCCCACCCAAACACAAGAAGCGATTTGCCTCCAGCTTTGTGGAGTGGATTTCTTTCCCTTATGCCCGGAATCCGGAAGCCCGATCAATGTTAAAATCAACTAACTAGGTGTCAAATCTCTTGTCAAGTCATCTGATTGGTTGTTGATAATTCAGTCAACCAATCAGATGACTTGACAATAGATTAATGCCCGGTTCCTATAATTAAGAAACGATCCGTTTTAGTTACGAATAGTAGTTTTATATACGACTCGTAAGCTAAAACCGTTCCTATAACAAACGTCTCGTCGTGCAACTTACTGACGGTTTGCAACTAACGAATGTCCGTAAGCGAATTGTATGGAGATCTATCGTGTCTGTGGTGTTCCTATAAATATTTTAACCGTCAGTAGACGGTCAAGATAACTATTCGTAATGTCATTTGGTCGTAATGCGTATACAACGACGATTCGTTAAATATAGGAACCGGGCATAAGTTGATTTTAACATTGATCGGCCTTTCGGAAACCGGGTGTTAGTCTGTTCTCCGTGTCACATAAATACTGTTTAATAGTAATAGGTAGACGTTTGGCCGCTATCACGCCTGGATACATCACATCGCTTACCAGCGATGATGCGCCCTATAATGGAGCACGACTTCCCATAAGCAACTTATTCACTCGGGCTATGAAGACATACTTTGGGGAACACACTATCAAAGAATTCCACTTCATAGCGGTTCTGATGAATATTTAATTCCTAAATATAATTAAGGGCTAATTATTCAATAGTCAGATAAATGTTATCTGAGGAATAAAATTGTTGCTGTCACTGTCTTATACAAACATTGTGACGCGACAGCATCTTTACTTGTATTGTAACAACTATTACTATTGAACTATTTAAAACGATAAATATCCTAACGGTACCTTGTCAGTTTATATATGAAAATATTATGTACGTAAGGAAAAATTTGCAATTATTTGAAAAAAGAAGCGATAGACACAATTTTAATACTAGAGGCAAAGATAGGCTGGCTGTGCCACGATTCCGTCTGTCCAAAGTACAATAAAATTCCAAGAAGTGTATTAAATCTTAATGAACGAAAATTTAAAACTTATATTAAACGCGAATTATGTAGACAGGCATACTACAAACTTTCAGATTATATTGAGGATAAGAATGCCTGGCAGCATGTTGGTTCGGCTCCACTGGACAATTCTCAAATATGTAGTCAGTAGTTATCAAAATTCTCAAAATTAATGAAACCTTGAATGAGTTTATATAGAAGCATTCTTTTGGATTGTGAGTACGCATATGTGAGCGCCATGTACGACACAACAAAGGATTAAAATTTTAATGATAGATTAAATAGACCATAATTTGTTCCTTTTTATTAACAACTTGTCTCTGCATTGTTCTCACATAGGGGTACAGTAATGTATAAAAAATGTATTATTGATGAATTGTAAAACAAATATTTTTTTTAAAAGAGTAACGATGGAGTTTCTTGCTCTTTCTTCTCCATTCGAAACTACAATTTGGAACGAGCATCTAGCTTCACTGACGAACAGACTGACAGACTACTATTCTATTTTGACGTTTCAAAAGTACCTACTTATGGTTTATTTGGAATAAATGATTTTGATTGATTGATTGATTGAACTTATCGCCTTTTCAACTTAATTGTAATAGTAAGTGGAAAGTAACACTAATTATTCCCCAGGTAACTTTTATCTAATCATTGAAAAATCAGCCTTAAGACAACTGCTATAATAATATAATATGAATATACTTAGTCGGGTCATAAGTTCTGTCAAAACCTTATATTTTTAATTTTCGATTACTGGCCAGAAATTCTTCGACTTATTTTAAAAATAGAACTTTCGCGCTTGTAGAAAATAAAAAAGAAATTATTTTTTATTCATTTTTAAATATGGAGTGGTCGAATAAAGAAGACAGAATCGCGGTTATCGCGTTGCACCGCTGTGGTTACGCGCCAAAAGACATTTTCAATATTCTTCAAAATTTGAAAATAACGTTACGGTTTGTTTATCGTACTATCAAACGATACACCGAAGAGTCAAGCTTCGAAGATCGTAAGAGAAGCGGCCGACCTCGCACAGTTCGGACACATAAGGTCATCAAAGCAGTGAAGGCGCGAATCGAACGAAATCCCGTACGTAAACAAAAAATCCTAGCTCTGCAGATGGGGCTAAGCAGAACCACTGTTAAAAGAGTACTAAATGAAGACCTGGGACTACGAGCTTATCGTAAAAAGACAGGACATTTTTTGAACGAGCGTTTAAAAAAAATTAGGCTAGACAGATCCCGCGCTTTGCTACGACGGTACGCAGGAAAAAAATACCGCGAAATTCTTTTTTCGGATGAAAAAATTTTTACTATTGAAGAAAGTTTTAACAAACAAAATGATAAGGTGTATGCCCACAGCAGTGAAGAAGCAAGCGCGCGTATTGCGAGGGTCCAGCGTGGGCATTACCCTTCCTCATTCATGGTTTGGCTTGGAGTCTCATATTCAGGCGTAACTGAGGTGTTTTTCTGTGAAAAAGGTGTGAGAACTAGTGCCGAAGTTTATCAAAATACTGTCCTAACAAACATAGTGGAACCTCTTTCTCAGACAATGTTCAGGAACAGGCATTGGATATTCCAACAGGACTCTGCACCGGCTCATAAGGCACGAAGTACGCAAGACTGGTTGATCGCTCGTGGAATTGACTTCATCCGGCATGAAGACTGGCCCTCTTCTAGTCCAGATTTAAACCCACTGGACTACAAGATATGGCAATATTTGGAGGAAAAAGTCTGTGCTAAACCTCACCCGAATTTGGAGTCTCTCCGAGCATCTCTGGTTAAAGCAGCGGCAGACATAGATATGAATGTGGTGCGTGCAGCGATCGATGACTGGCCGCGTAGATTAAGGGCATGTGTTCAAAATGGGGGAGGGCATTTCGAATAATGTAAATAAAATTATATTGTACATTTAATGACCTTTCATTTCATATATAATTTTTAAATAATTGTCAAAAGGCGTATAAGTTATTACATCAAAAGTTTGTGACAGAACTTATGACCCGACTAAGTATATCCCTTTATCAATAGTTTATATTGAGAATTGTCAAGTCTATTTCTGAACTAATTAACATTGGTTCCCGTAATTCCTTCTTTTAGTATTAAACATTCATGTTATTTCGGTTATATTTATTTATCTGACATTATATACCATCTAATTAAAACTAAAAGTGCGCTAATTACCTCTGAATCGTCATCAAGAACCTCCTCCTCGACGACTTCAGCCCTGTACTCCAAGAGCAGATCCCTCAGAGGTTTCGCGTCCAGCTTTCCGTTGACAAACTCGTGTTTCAGGAGCTCTACCGCTGTCGGCCTCTTTTCTGGATCCTGTGGAATGAAGATATAGATACAGTTAAGTAATGAATGGTTTTTTGTGAGGTCAAAATTGTCATATTATTTCTAGCGCCCAAGGTGAGACGAGAGGGAGTGTCAGACTCTTATTGATTAAAAGCCAACATTTCTACTTCTGTTCTAGGCTGAGGCCGCGTGCCTTATTTTGCTTGTTCCGCAAAGGGCACTGAAAACTGGCGTAAAACAATTACAGTGTTGTGTTTCGCCGTATGAGTGAGGTTAACGGAGACCCAATCCTTCCCCTTTTCCAATACCTAATCACCAAAACGTCGGCAACGCTCTCGGAGCTAATCTGTTTGCTCGTTTGTGTGGGATCAATTACGGAACCTGTAGGAGGAAGCTATTGTAATTTCTTATAATAATTTAAGAAGAAGAAGAATATTTAAATTAAACTTGACAATAAGTAAAATATAATGATGATGATGTAAATATAATATAAATGATGTAAATGTAGTATGTAGCAGGGATGTTGCGAACATTCGCATCCGCATCCGCAAATTCGGAACATCCGCATTGATTTGGACATCTGCATCCGCATCCGCATTAATCAATGCGAATGTTCATGCGGATGCAAATATTATACAAGTAGCGACAAGAAAGAGAGAGAGCGAACCTCTGCGTAATAGACTCGATTGCAAAACTCCGCATCCGCGGATGTTAAAAAATCGGCATCCGAAACATCCCAGGTATGTAGTATGTATGCTATTTTGTATGTGTGCTTATCGATTCTACTACTGTGTAACTACACACACTCACACTACTGTGAAAGTACCTATAGTATAGAGTTAGAGAATCCATAAGCGGTTTGGTTGTAAACTGTTAGCTTATTTTCTACTAATCTAATAAACCAAATCACCAACATACCTTCACAAGAGCCTTGGAAATAAAATCATTGAACGATTTACTCCACTTGGAAGGCTGGTCCAGGGTGGGTGGTTCGCTCTTCTGGATCTTGAGTAACACTCTCATCGGTGTCATCTCGTGGTTTGGAGGCTCCATTTGGGCAAACTCTATCAGGGTGATGCCCAGGGACCAGATGTCAACCTGTAAATGAGAGAAAATGATTTTTGTTATCTAACATTTGGAATTTCTCCTGTGTCGTGGGTTAGAAACATACAATTTATTATACATATATCACACTAGCTACTCTCGCGCTGTTTCACTCGCTGCTCAGCGCCATTTGATCGTAGCGTGATGTTTTATAGCCTATAGCAATCAGGAACATTGTAGCTATCAGTGAAAGAAAGCGGTTCCAAAGATTACCCCCTACATACAAACTTACAAACTTTACCTCTTTATAATATTAGTTTAGATTTAGACCCGGAACAACAATTTTGGGGTCACAAAAAAAGACGTTTCGTGAGGAATCGAACCCAAAACCGCGTAATCATTATAAGTACCCCACTCCCCCCAATAACTTCGGTTGGTAAGTATTGGCTTAGTTTTTTTTCTAAACATGGCCACACTCTTTGATTTTTTGAGAGACACGACAAAACAGTTTGTAGGTCACACAAAGAATCGTTCCGAGCAGAAATTGAGTCCGCGAATATAATTTTTCTATACTAATATTATAAAGACGAAAAATTTGTAAGTTTGTATGTAGGGGGTAATCTTTGGAACCGGTGGTCGGATTACCAAAATTCTTTCACTGATAGATAGCTACAATGTTCCTGAGTGCTATAGGCTATAAAACATCACGCTACGATCAAATGGAGCAGTGGAGCAGCGGAGCAACCGCGCGAGAGTAGCTATAGCTAGTATTGGATAATAAGGCGGCAAACGACCGTTCGAGTATTCCCTGATGGTAAGCAATTAGCGCCGTCCATGCACACAAGCAAGACCAGAAGAGATACGTTTACGAATTACCTTAAAATCATAAGGATGATCTCTGAACGTCTCGCACAGAACGACCTCGGGCGCCATCCAATACGGCGTCCCAATGAACGTATCGTGTTTCTGTAACGTCGACTTGTTCTTCGCTGAGACGCCGAAATCCGCTGGAAATATGGAAAAAAACGCGTTATTTTTTACGTGATAGGTTGGCAAATGTGCACTTATTTGCTGATGGTAAGCAATCAACAAGACCGGCAACAACAATGGAGTTACGGAGTGCGTTGCCGGCCTTTTGTGGATTAGGGATTATGCCCTCCGGTACCCTTACTTACACGGCGAAACACAACGTTGTGGTTGTTTCACGCCGATTTTCTGTGAGGCCGTGATATCACTCCGGTCGAGCCGACCCATACGTGCCGAAGCATGGCTCTCCGACACTTAAATTACTATGTTATTTATCTATTTATATACAATAAGGTATCCGTAGGGTGGTTGGCAATGGTTAGATGAGAAGAGTTGAGAATAGAGCTCAGTGGCGTGCAATTGGGGAAGCCTAATCGACAAAATGATATGGTAAGCGCATAACTCAAAAACGCCTGGAACATTATTTCCAATTGTTTTTTTGTTGTGTTTGTTATTGTGAGTAGAAGGTTCTTATCAAAGAAAATATTAGCTAAGTGGAAGGAGAAATTGGGAAAAAAGATCCTTTAGTTGTTAGCAAGATTTTTAGAAGCGGGAGCGGGCCGGTAATACTAGCGGTTATACTAGCGATCGCCCGCATAGAGGTAGAGGTCGATTTCACATGTTCAAGTTGGACTTCCACAAATAATTAAAGATCAAAATTAGCCAAATCGGTAAAGGCATTGTTGAGTTATTTAAAACAGTACAACGAAAAGTGGCATTGATTTTTATATACACATATACACATATATATTATATACATACCAAATCCATATGTCGGACGAGCCGCTGGCATCGTTCGAGACTCGCGTCCAATCATACACAGAGATTTGAAGGCTTTTCTTTTCTATACTTCAGGTCTCTATGTACGACTGGACGAGAAGTCATTTCGTTAATCGGTTGTTAGTCCTTTAGACCCATTTAAAGTACTGTGTTAGTTAACGTTAGTATTCAATATGTACTTATATATATAAGATACAGTTAGCATAACTATTTAGTATGGTATATTTTGCACAGTTATTTGGTGGTATGTTATCTTTTTCATCCTAATTTTTATTTTGTATTCCTGTGTATACGTCCTTTGCCGAAACAGCGTTAAACATGTCCAGGGTTGTCTCGGAACTTATTAAATTACCGAGGCAAGGACATGCGGATCAGCGCTGAAAACCAGCGCTGTTGTCTCGTGCCCGCGTGCGCGGGGCACAGCATATATGCTGAGTGCTGTCCCTTTTTCCCAGGATGACGCAACTGCAGCCTATTTAAATGTTTATATGTTTGTGTCGTCGTTAGTTTTACTTGTTTATTTTGTTGCTTTTGCGTCTTTTGCGTTAATAAATGGTTTTTCTTTCTTTTCTTTTCTTATGATACGTGTTGCACAGTTTTTTTAAGATACAATTTGCACACTATTTGGTATGTACCAGTTTGCACGCGCTTCTCATAATTTAAGGCGAGTCTTCTAAACAGAGGTCAGAGTCGTATATTAGGTATAATAAAACTATTTAACTCAGAGTGAGACAATTATATTTGGCTAAAGCTAGCTATATACCATTTGCCGTGTAACGAAACCATATCTAACTCGATCCTAACGCCATCTGTGGAGCTATTCGGTACTACAAACATAAATAATTAATTTCAGTTATACCATAGCGTGGGGATCGATTAGGTCTATTTTATCATTATTTCTACTTTTAACAACCACTGACATACGGTGAAGAAGAACACTGTGAGGAAACCTCCGGTAACCTCACTCGCCCGGCGAAACACAACGCTGTGGTTGTTTCACGCCGGTTTTCTGTGGGGCCGTGGTATCACTATGGTTTATACAAAATAGACTCACCCAACTTAACTCCACCGGTCATCGTAGCCAATACATTGCCAGCCTTCAGATCCCTGTGTATAACCCTCCTCGAATGCAGAAACTGTAGACCTTTACACATCTCCCTGCAGACGTAGGCTATTTGGATCTCGTTTAGGCCTTTCTCTAGTTCCGCCATCACAGAGTCGAGGGCGCCACCGTCGCAGTATTCTAGTAGCATCTGGAATATTTGAGAGAAAATTGTTAAAGAAAATTATCATTTATTTTTAATTTGGCACATATTTGTAAAAATCTTGAATGGAAAAAGACATGTTGCTAAATGCATGGAGTCCAGAAAACACACACATCCCATTACATAATCAGCTATAAGTGCCCACTGAGCAAAGGCCTCTTCTCACACGGAGAAAGTTTAATCATTAATCATCATGATTGCTCAAGGCGGATTGGCGATTTCAAATTTATCATTACAAATGAAAAGACCAAGTTCCCTCACGATGTTTTCTTTCACCATATGTCAGTGGTGTCTATATAGTCATAGAAAGTACATAAACTCGAAAAAAGTCACATTGGTACTTGCCAGGTGTCTAAGTACCCTTTTTTCCAGGTGGGGAAATCTTGTCTCCACTTTGTGAAAGAGTTAGAGTAATTATTAGTTCAGTTAAAGACGGTCTAGGGCGGAGATCATCTTTGAATTAATTCTTCTTTTATGAATATCTTAATTTATTTTTGCTTTGTGTACAGAGCGACATATTTGTAATTGCAAATTAAATAAAGCTAAGCTTTTAAATAAAGATTGAAAAAAAAAATCTAATGTCTTCCCCCGCCCTGCATGGAGCGGAAGGGCGTGTCACAATCTGACAAGAAACAACCCGTTTATTCTCCAGCTTGCGCTTGCAGCTAAGACTAGTAAAGAACTCCATTTGGTATTCAGTCCGCCTTATACACATACCCCATACCCAATTCTCTCAATCCTCAAATCTCCAAAACAAAAGTAGCGCATGAAGCGGTTCGCCTCCAGTTTTATAATCAGAACCGATAAGAATTGGAATTCTTTGACCAAGTCTTTGTTTCCCGAAGGGCATAGCCTGGGTTTCTTCAAGGGCCCGAGTGCATAGTTTTTTTTTTATTGATTATAGGTTCGCGCTTGACCGCTATCTCACCTGATGGAAAGCGACGATGCGGTGGACGATGGAGCGCGCTTACCTAGAAGTAACCTATTCACTCTTGACTTAAAGATACCCAGATTGTAACTATCAGGAAACACTGACTCCGGCAAGGAATTCCACTCCTTGGCTGTACGCATAATGAATGTGCTCCCAAAACGTTTTGTACGTATATGTAGGACATCCACCATGTACCGGTGGCGCAATGCCGTAAGTCTGGTGGTCCGATGATGGACGGACCTTTTGCTTATGGGTAGTCGTGCTCCATCGTAGGTCGCATCATCGCGTACCACCAGGCGTAATAGCGGTCAAATTTCTGCTCATTAGGTCAAAATCCTCTAGAGAAGCGAGTATCCATACGCACTGAGGCCCGAGTCTACTATTTTCAAAGTGTTATCATTCCTACACGATTCCATTGTAATTTTTTCTAAAATTTCGTAATCTGTTAATTCAAAATGGCTCATCATTGGCGTTCGGCGATGTCGTAATAGAATTATAGTACGAGGTGTCTTGTAACGAATTATAAACAATAACTGCACATTAATATTCTAAACGTAAATCATTGAATAAAGGAACTGATTTTTTTTTATTAATTTACCGCATTATGTCAAATATTCATTTGTCATTATGTACGAGATTACCGTTCTAAAGAATTATTTCAATGAAGTGGCATTGGAAAGTCATAATGACGCTATCGTGTTAGTAGATTACCAAACTTATCAAAATCAACAATTTTGAAACCAATGATCTACTATTCTGACACTATTGTAATAGCAGACTCGAGGCCCTGATTGCTTACCATCAGCTCCAAACCAAACCAAAAAGAAGAAGAAAGAAAAAACTCACCCATAACTTGTTATCTATAAAATATGCCTCATGCAGTTCCACCACGTTGGGATGCCGGCATTCGGATAGGATGTCTATTTCCACGGTGAAGTCGGCCAGGTCATCCTCGTTATCGAGGACACACATCTTCGCGGCAGCCAGCTGACCCGTCGTCTTATGTTGAGCTTTGTATACCTGGAATGAACAGAAAAGATTTAAGTAATTGATTCGAGGATGCTCGACTGGTTTCAAGGTAAAACGGGACTCGTAATTATTAGCTGTACGCGTTTACGTGTTATGGACGAAATAGCTCAGATTAATAGCCACGTCGTTCTTTTGAGCTCTTATTTTTTGTGAGGGTAAAGTCATCAAATGACTTCTCCCATCCTGGTCTCCCAGCTTGAGGGAGTGTCAGACTCTTACTGAATAAAACCCACCCCGTATCTACTTCCATCAATCCTGCTATGAGTACTGCAACATTCCACCATTTACACCTTTTCTTCTTCACGACCAGCAGGAAGACAAGGGCTGTTGGCAAATAACTGCTTACCTTTCCAAACGCTCCATCTCCGAGCTCGCCGACCATATCCCAGTTCTCCGAGGGGTCGCTGTTGTCGCGGATGTTATTGAACACCTTCTTCTTCTTCGCATCGTTACCGCTGCCTAGGTGCAGCACCTGAAACCGAGGTATGGAAATTGATGGGTCATCTTTTTTTATTGAGAAATGTACCTAGTGCATGCTGGTGTTAAAATGAGTTGTTGAATAAATAGATAGTTTTAAATTACAACTTTCGTGAAACATTCTAAATTAATTATTATGTTTTCGGCTTGCTCACGTAATAATTTGACGAGATACTCGACTAGTTTCAAGCCATGCTAGAGGCCCATATTCATGAGCGGCATTCCGCGACACGCGTCGTATATTATCTCGTCAAATTATTACGTGAGTAAGCCGAAAACATAATAATCAATAGATAGTTATTGTTTTATGGTATAGGTCGCAAACAAGCTGATGGATTACCTGATGGTAAGCAATCGGAGCGGCTCATAGAGTATCCATCAGAGGTTCACTCCGGAATAGGACATATGCAACTTTTTATCAACATACCACGCGGGTGAAGCCGCATGCGGAAGCTAGTGTACACATACCTTCTTAAGATTATTAAAGAACGACATATTGTATGGTTGCGCGTCGCGTTAGCGCGCGCCGGCGCCTCATCCGTCCTTACACATCGTTTCAGACCTCCGCTTGCACTCTTTGCATATCTGTGGACAAAAGATGAAAAAAAAGTTATAAAATTTGCAAAAATAGTAGTCATGGACGCATAGATACAACGACACGGTAGTTTTCAACTAGTCAAATTCAATATTTTTATCCAAATGTCAAAAACTATACTTTTCTATGAAATTTGTATGAAACACTGAGTTATGACTTTATAGTTTAGTCGAGTCAAATAGCTTACTTATTTCTTAAAAATTTGCTAAAAAATATCTAAAATTCAGTGTATCGATCGATCGATGAATAAAAGTATAGTTATTTTTCAATATTTTATTGTAATGAAATGTCGAATTAATTTATTTTTGACCTAAGAAACTACACAATTGAGAAGTATTAGCACCACCATCATCTATAGGTAACCATTGCTGAGGAAAAGCCTCATAACAAACGGAGAAGGTTCGAACATGGCTCACCATACTCGCTCAAGGCGGCTTCACGATTTGAGACTTATAAATAGAAGATATAAAACCCCGGTATTCCTCTCCTAACTGATTTCCTTCTCCGTAAGGTAGTAGTGTCCTTTCTTGTGAAGGGAATATCATGACTTCTCCCGCCCATAGTGTCAGACTCTTATTGACTTAAAACCCCCCGTTCCTTCTCCTGATCTAGGACGCTGTGCCTTATTGCGCTTGTCTCGCAACCCAGGCTAAAATATCAGCCCTATAGGCCCCGTCTGTGTATTATCTATACTAATATTATAAAGAGGTAAAATTTGTAAGTTTGTATTTAGGGGGTAATCTTGGAACCGCTGGTCGGATTGCCAAAATTCTTTCACTGACAGATAGCTACAATGTTCCTGAGTACTATAGGCTATAAAACATTAAGCTAGGATTAAATGGAGCCGAGCAGCGGGTGAAACCACGCGAGAGTACCTAGTATGTGTATAAACTGGTACTTTTGAAACGTCATTCGAAAAAGTCTGTCAGTCAGTTCGACATTGAAGCTAGGTGCTCGTTCCAAATTGTAGATTCGAATGGAGAAGAACGAAAAAGAAACTCCATTGAGAAGAACACAAAAAGAACAGTCTATACTTATATTATAAAGAGGTAAAATTTGTACGTTTCTATGTAGGGGGTAATCTTTGGAACCGCGGGTCGGATTGCCAAAATTCTTTCACTGATAGATAGCTACAATGTTCCTTAATGCTATAGGCTACAAAACATCACGCTACACACGTCAGTGTCGGCGTGGTCGATACACACACGACAGATAGTATTTCTAAAAATTATTTAAAGCAAACAGCCACGAGCTAGCAAGTTAGTTAATTACATTCTTAAAACACGTACCGCTGATAATTTTTAAGTAAAACGTAAACATACAATGTTTGAGAACAAATACATTTTTCTAGTTTTCTTTGTATTTTCCGCATTCTAAGAACTCGTGTTCATTCATTATTAGTCGTTTAGGTAGCTTATGTAGTCGCTTATGTATATTACTATCGCCATAGCATATGTCCCTATGTACTACTACTATACCATGTGACGGCAATATGCAAAAAGGCAAACAAAATGCTTGGATTTGTCATGCGTACATCATCTAAATTTAATAATTTAGGAGTTGCTACTGTTCTCTATAATGCCTACATACGTAGCAAACTTGAGTATGGTGGCATAGTCTGGGCTCCATCTGAGGAAAAATACAATATTATGCTTGAAAGGGTACAACGTAAATTCGCTCGTTGGTTATATAAGAAAAGGTATGGCTACTATCCTTACTTATACCCTTCCTCTTTTGTAGCTGGTATGGTGGATCTGGAGACCCTCAAGTTCAGGAGGGTGGTGCAAACAATATTGCACTATCTGTCAATAGTGCACCATAAAGTAGACAACCCTATAGTACTAGGCATGGTGAGGTTACTTGTTCCGAAACGACTGTCATGGAATGAGCAAGGGACAGTTGCGCCGAGGCGTCGGCCTCGCCTTTTGTGGTGGCCTCAAACGCGCACCAACTATGCGTTGCATGCACCGACTATTCGGGCACTGGGCCTTATTGAGGATATGATCGCTCGTGACAATGATATCGACATATTTGCTGACCACTTTAAAATGCTATGTGCTAAAACCGAAATATTTGTCAATAATTATCTAATGTAATTTTATAATGATGTACTTTTGGTAAGCGCTATGAGTCACTCGCAAACTCGGCCTAGAGCAGGAGAAGGAACTGGGTGGGTTTTAGTCAGTAAAATTCTGACACTACCTCTCGGCTCACCAGGGTCGGGAGAAGTCAGTCCGTCATTTCGATCATACTATTATAATATTAGTGAAAACAGCACGCAAGCTCAATCAACAGTTTATGAGCTTATAGCGAACCTTTTTTATTTTATTGACTGTCTATTCCAGCATATTTTAGTTTTTAACCTTAGTTTTTAACCTTTTAGTCGATCAATTCGAGACACAATACTTGCTCGAACGCCGGCGTTCGCTTGGGGTTTCGTAAATTAAACGATGCACAAGATTAAAGATCTCTCTCTCTCCATCAGAATAGTCACATAACACAGCAAACATAACCTAAATAAATTTAGACCATTACACAATATTGTAACCGCACCGATTTTCTACCAACATAAAAGCCACTTAACACAAGTTTAAATACATATTACGTGGACTTATCTTAGGTGTGGTTCACACTATCTGGAAGCTGGATGAAACAGCTGTATTTCTGTTCGTGTTTTTTATGTAATAAGTCTGCAAACGAGCAGGCGGATTACCCGATGGTAAGCAATCAGCGCCGCCCATGGACACCCGCAACGGAGGAGTTACTAGTGCGTTGCCGACCTTTTAGGGATTAGGGATTTGGAGATTTAGGGATTGGGGAAGGATTGGGCCTCCGGTAACTTCACTCACACGGCCAAACACAACGCTGTAGTTGTTTCACGCCGGTTTTCTGTGAGGCCGTGGTATCACTCCGGTCGCGCCGACCCAATCGTGCCGAAGCATGGCTCTCCCACCCCTAAACGTCTTGAGGCGGTAACTGAGCAGACGGACCTACTGATGGTAAGCAATCAGCGCCATTTATAGTCAATTGGACACACTTTCGACCCCTCGACAACTCCTCTGGTTGAGCCGGCCAAATTTTTTTTTATTGCCCTCGTTAACTAGGATTATCTCCTGTGTCGGGGGTGCGGTTACAAACATACAATTTCACATACACATGACACCCAGACCCGGAACAACAATTTGAGGATCAAAGAGTTGTTCCGTGCGAGAATCGAAGCCGCGACACATTGCACGGCAGCCAGTCACCGCGCCAACCGTCTCCGTCTTAAAGTTTGAAAACACCTATAGTCGACTGACGATAGAAATATCAGTTCAACAGTGTGAATCAACGCTTATGTGAGTACGGGCGACTCCTTATCTTAACAAGGTCAAGTCGACATCGCTTCGCTAAAATATTACCGGTAACAGGTATTATGGCGTAATTATTTAAGAAGATAGTAAAGATAATTCGGCTGTATATTTTACTTCATTCAACAAGTCGATTGCTATTAGTTTAAGGTGAAATTTAAGTTTTATTTGGGAGAGGAAAATCATCAGGTAACTTTTTCGACACAGTGTGGCGAGAGGAAGTGACACTGTGACTGACGAAAAACGAACCGTTTTTTATCTTGCCCCGAACCGAGCACCGGTTCGCTGCAATAATGTACCGGTTGTTCGATTTTGGGAAAATCATCAAATGACTTTTCCCGCCCAGGGCCGGGCGGGAGGCAGTGTCAGACACTTACTGACTAAAAACCCCCTGTTCCTACTCCTGCTCTGGGCCGAGGTTGCGGTGCCTCATTGCGCTTAGCCCACAGGGGTTGTGGGCTAACCATCAGCTCTATAGGGCCCCGTCTGTGGTGGTCTGTTGGCTCTTTGAGGCGCGCGCGGAACGTTACGCGCCGTACGCTCGGGCCTGGTAGGATAGGTTTTTAACTTATTGGGATAATCAAAAAAGAATATTCATGTTACATCTAATCGCCAACTTTTCACTAGTTACAATTGCGTCCGTGTAAAAAGGGGTGTGCCAATCTACAAACACGATTTCAAAGAATTCACGAAAAACATTCAGCCAACGAATGAGGCAGTGAATCAGTAACAGTGCAAAGCCATAAATTATCTAATGAATTATACCAAGAAGAAACGTGCTATATATACAAAAATACTACCGAGTAACATAGAATTACGTAAACATCGTACTATTCCAGGCTTTGTACTAGAACATAAAGATTTTATAATAAAACGTTATTACAAATATCATAAAATAAATGTAAAACATTTTTTATGGGAAAGGTCAGCTAACGAGGAGATGTATTGCCTGATGGTAAGCATTCGGCGCCACTCATGGACACTCACTACACCATACTTACAAGTGCACTGCTTTTCAGGGGTCTGAGATTTGACGATTGGAGATAAGGGGATTCGAGATGGGGTGAAACACCCTTATCTTGAGGAAACCTAACGTGTACGTGTACATACTTTAAAGTTAGAAAACGCCAATCATCCTTTAGCAAGCGTGGTAATTAATGCTCAAATCTTCTCCGTGTCAGAAGAGGCCTTTGCTCAGCAGTGAGCACTGCATCATCATCAGCCTGCTGTGTCCACTGCTGAACAAACCTCCTCTGACAAGGACACATTGGTACTTGCCCAGTTTCGAGCCCGCACCCTCATGCATCAGAAGCGGGCGTGGTGGCCTTAACCTCCAGGCCACCACGACTACTTATAAGTGGGCACTCATAGGGAATAAATATTGTCTGTTAGTTTTTCTTCAAAACCGCAACGAAGTGTTTGAATAGTATGATTATTGTGTCTGAACATTTTAGACTTTTTTTCTAAGTGTGATAATGATCCATCATCTTTCGCTGTCTAAAAATCCCCCAGTTCCATTACCAGCGCCAAACCAAGCAGCGTTACGATATTTAGGAGGCTAAATTATGTTGTGGTGGCCCGGAGTTTAAGGAGCCCGCTTCTCATGCATGAGGGTGGGGTTCCCAACATGGCAAGTACCA